TCGTTGATCCGCGAAACGCCGGAGAGGCAGAAGCCAATATACTTCATGAGCAAAGCTCTTCAAGGCCCCGAGCTCAAGTACCAGCAGATCGAGAAGGTCTCCATGGCCTTCGCGGCCAGGGGGTTGCGGCATTACTTCCTGGCCCACACGGTCATAGTTAGATTTGACCAGCCCGTCAAACGATTGCTCGGATGGCCAGATATGTCGGAACGAATGCTTAGATGGTCGCTCGAACTATCCGAATTCGATGTCCGTTACGAAAGTAGAAAGGTCCTCAAAGCCCAAGTCCTGGTCGAGTTTGTCGTCGAAATGACTTCCGCAGACTCCCCGACACCCGGGGCGTACAAATGGACCATCTTCGTCGATGGCGCCTCCAGCTCGACGGGAAGTGGAGCAGACATTGTTCTAGAAAACAAAGAAGGTATCCTAATAGAAGTCTCCCTCGCCTTAGCGTTTCCAACATCCAACAACCAGGCCGAATACGAAGCATTTCTCGCGGGCCTACGTCTGGCCGAAGATCTAGTTGCGAAAGAGGTGAAGATTTTCACAGACTCCCAACTCATGGCCTCCCAGGTGCGAGGGGAGTATCAAGCCAAGAATTACAACCTCGCCGAGTATCTTTCCTTGGTAAAAGAAAAAATGAAATGCTTCGATTCCGCAGAGGTAAGACATGTCCCACGCGAACACAATACCCGAGCAGATGTCTTGTCCAAGCTAGCCAACACGAAGAGGAAGGGCGGGAACAAATCTGTGATCCAGGAGGTCCTCCCTTACCCCAACATCAAGAGAGATGCAACACCCGCCGAGGTAAACGCCATCGCCGACAGCGACTGCTGGATGACCCCGGTGTATACGTACCTTCGTAGCCTTCCCGACTATTCCAAGGAAGCAAGCGTAGTTAGGCGCCGGGCATGTTCTTACGTTCTGGTCGAAGACAAACTGTACAGGCGGGGATTGTTCATCCCCCTTCTTAAGCGCGTCGACGAATCCCAGGTGTTGGGCATACTCCGAGAGATCCACGAAAGAATCAACGCCCAACCCCTAGGCGGAAAAGCACTCGCTCGCAAGGCGTTACGAGGAGAGTCCTATTGGCCCACCACGCAGCAAGACGCCAAAGAACACGTCAAGAAGTGCGATAGATGCCAATGACACGGGGACATGTACCTCTCCCCGCCTAACGAGCTGAAAACGCTTCCATCGCTGTGGCCATTCGCCTGGTGGGGAATGGACATCCTCGTATCCTTCACCATTGGGTCCTATCAAAACAAATATTTGATAGTCGGCGTGGATTACTTCACCAAGTGGATAGAAGCCGAAGCTTTGGCCAAAATCACGGCCCAAAACATACTAAGATTCTACAAGCGTAACATACTTTCTAGGTTCGGCGTGCCCCAGGCTATCGTCACCAACAACGAGACGCAATTCACCGACAAGAACTTCCAGGACTTCGTCGCCAGACTGGGCACGAAACAACACTTCACGTCGGTCGAACACCCGCAGACGAACGGGCAGGCTGAAGCAGCGAACATAGTGATTCTGTGCGGGCTGAAACGTAGGCTGGGAGATGCCAAGAAAGGATGGGTCGAGGAGTTGCACAACGTCCTCTGGGCTTACAGGACCACTCTACACTCCAAGATAGTAGAAACCTCATTCCGAATGACCTACGAAACAGAAGCGGTGATCCTTGTCGAGATAAGAGAGCCCTCTAGGCCTTTGTATTGATGAGCTTCGACTCCTGGAGAATCTCCCCGTTCTTGTCGAGGATGAAGTTGTCGTCGGGCGTCACACATTTCGCAAGAGTGAAGCTGGCCACGAAGGCCACCAACCTTTGGTAGCCCACCCGATCCTCTGCATCCAAAGTGTCTGCCCGCACGATATAGTGATCTGTGCTCTGTTTGAAATGCTCCTCTGTCCAGTTCAAGGGAACCCTCGACACCATAACCTCTTCATGTTGCCCGTCTACCTCCCGAACCTCACGACGAAATAGCGAGGTGCAGGACGGATGAGACACGGGCATGACCACAAATAGTCGATCCTTGAAGGTCCGGACAGAGTCCATATACGCCCGGAAAAACCTCCTTGACTGCTTCAGGGACACCCAGCCCCGTCGGCCATCAATCGTTTGTCTTTGCAGATGAAAGATTCAAAAGAACAGAGTGAGCGTGGTCCTGATCCGAAGGTGCCGGCAAACGAGCTCGTATGTCCGAACAAAGGCAATCGCATTGGGATGCAACTGCGAAAGTGCCGACCTCAACCAGTCAAAGACCTTCATTTGAAAATCTGAGTAGGGCAGACGGAGTCCCGCCTCGCGAAAACAAAACTCATACATAGGAAACAACATCTTCCCATAGCTCGAGCAGATCCGATGATTGGCCCGTGGCTTATACACTTGCCAATTCATAGAGGAACCCTCGCGACGATCCTCGACTGTGGCAAACGCGTCGGAGTCATCCTCAACAAAACGGGAAGCCGTACTCAAGGGCTCTTCCCCAGCCCAGTCTTTGACTGTTTGACTACGCCCCTCGATGGGCGGGGCCGTCGGAGACTTCGGCTCCTGGTCTACTTCTATGACTCCAGACATTCACGCAGCCATATTCACCTGAAAAGCAGAGGAAAAAGGTGAGTTCGGCGTTTCAAGATCAAATTCACCCTTCCACCACAACTCAAGTGAAAGGGCGAAGGGGACGACATCTACGACCTAGGCTCCTCCAACCTCGACAGAACGAGGTCGGGCCCTAAAATTTGTATCGGGCCGCCGGGCGGTCATCCACTTCCCCGCGTTATTTACCGTCATATGTTCCCGGGGCGTTCATCTATACCTGTCATATATCCTCGGGGTATTCATCTAGACCTATCATATGTCCCCGGGACATTCATCCAGCCCTATCATCTGTCCCCGGGGAGTCCATCTAGAACTATTATGCGTCCCCGGGATATTCATCTAGCCCTATCATCCCGCCGTAGTCGCCGGAAACCCCACAACCTCCTCAGGACACTCATTGTGTTCGCTGTAGAAGTTGTCGAAAAATAAAGAAACTGAAGGAACAGGACAAACGAACTTACTTAGTACGGTAGCTTGGGTAGAGACACGGCGGACTTCGCGGTGGACGGCGCGGCGGCGACAATTGCACGTCGATGTAGACAATGGGGGAGCAGGAAACAATTACCTTCGTTAGAGTTGAGAGCGAAAAGTGACAAAGGGGCATGCCCCAACCTATTTATAAGTCTAGCACGGAACTCGAAGCGCCCCTAGGAACCCAAGTACCCCTATAACTAGCCACCCTATGAGGGGCAATGAGCGTCTGACACGTGACAACTGTGACAGCCCATGCCCCTTCGCTTTCCCTCAAGCTCAGAAACCCGGGCGCCTGGTCACCTTTCACCTCCCCGACATGATATACCAACGAGGGTGGCTCTCGACCCCATCTTCAGGCATAAGACCAGCTTTTCAATTTTTCCTCGACCTTGGCTTATCCTTAAGTCGTCACTCGTCCACTCCGGAGCAAAGACTTGGGGGGCTCCTGTTCTGGACTGGGTTGGGACCTGCTTCTCAGTCGGGCAGGCGCAACCCAATGTTATGCTGATGAGGCCCAATAAGGCCCAATCCTCCTCCGTCGGGCACAGACCTCAACCAGACACATGCGTCGAGCAGAAGACCTTCCTGACGGGGAAGCTCACGCACTTCTCCCAGGTCCTCCACGTGTCCCCCACGCGAGGACACGTCATCAAGCAATTACCCACCTCCGAAAGAGTCGGTCAACCCACCTTCCGAAGATCACGGGATAGTTGATTTAGGGCGAAAACCACATGCTGATTTTCACTACGACACGTAAGCCCTGACAGTTACTTGGGTTGGGCCTGACAGTCTGGCCCAATACAATGTAACCGTTGGCCCTGCATTAGAGGCACACTATAAATACCCTATTTCACTAGAGGGTCAGGTAACTTCTTCTACACACTTAACCTATGTGTTTGCTTTCTCTCTGATCTTTTACTCACTTAAGCATCAGAGTGTCTTGCAGGTACACCCCTTTTCTCTCCACAACTCTAGTGAAAACAATAATCCAACGACGCGTGGTTGATCATTGATTCTTTCTGATCAGGTGAGATCAATAGGTAAGTTAAAATAATTCAATGTAAATAAAATTTTAGTCTCATTAGTTTTTTAGTTTGTTAGTATATTTAAAATAAGAGGCTTTTATGTAGGTTAACAAGGTTAACAGGCTAAACAGACTTTAGAAAATATTAAACTCAGACATAAAAATAAGTCTATGATAGATTAAAGGACAAACTTAGTCTTCCGTATTTTGTGGCAGGTCAGACTTATGCTTGACAAAGCTTAACTCGACACAGTCTATTTCCACCCCTAATCCCTAGTGTCTATGAAATGTTGGCGGAAGTTTCACTTTGTAGCCTTAAAAATGGAGTTTAAATTTCACATTGAATATTTTAAAATTAATTCTTAGTGTCACATTTCCTAATTAAAAATAATCTACCACATAAGCTACAAAGTCTATTAAGCCACCGGAATTTGTCTAGTTGCAATAAGTTTGGATAGTTTCAAAGAGTGTTTTAAATTGCAATTGCACTTGTGACTACTAAGATTGCAGCTATCGCAGCTGTTACAATGTCAATTTACAGCTGTTACAATGTCAATTTACTTTATTAGCATTAAGCATTATAATTTATTACTTATCTTTTAACTCAATTATCTTCCATTGTTCTCTAAAAAAAAACTCATATTTAATCATTATCATTCTTTAAATACTCTCCAAATGAATGATGTAAATAGAAAGAAAGAAAGAAAAATAATTATTGTGAGAACAACAATTTTAAACCTCGTTCAAGTAAACATGAGGTGCTAGTTTAAAACCATATTGCCTCCCTAGTACCCAAAAAATTACAAATCTATCATGATCTGTATATTTATGACTCCTTGATTATTTGTAATTCCATTCAAGCATTATTGAGTTTAACTTAATTCGTATTATTTTAAACATTTACAATTTTGCATGTTTCTTTAGCTTGTCGCCGGCCTCTTTTGCATTTTCTGGAACGGGCATGTTGCTTTTAAGAGTAACTCTAGAAGATGCTATCAACAATCTGTTCTCTGAGTTTGAAGGATCAATCTTCCAGATTCTCACATCCCACACCTACTACACAGAAACACTATATAAGTAAATGAACATGTAGTATTATTGAAAAATAACAATAATAAATATTGCATTGTTATGTATTGGGTAAACTTACATTTATGTATAGAAGTGTGTAACTATTAATTAAAGAAGTGTATCAATTAACTAAACTTTGGTGAAAGAAATAGCAAAAGCTACTTGATAAAAACTGTGATAAAAAGGAGTTGGAAAATAGCACTGTAGATAAAAGCTAATAATAATATTGATGTTTGAAGAGAGGAAATATTGATTTTTTCACAATCATGATATAACATTATTAATAACTAAAATCAAAATTATTTCATTAAAAATTAAATAAATTGACTATTTATTTTAAATTTTCTAAAAAATCCAAACAAAAATATAATTATTAATTTAAAAAAAAAACGTATTTGTTGGGCTGGCCCTGCCATTCAAATATTTTTATTTGAACGAATAAAAAACTTTTAAAATAAAAATCAAGCAAAAACAGGATATAAAACACAGTTAAGGTTAAGGACATGTGAAGTCTTGCACGAATGTGTTAGAGACGACACGTGTGATCTACAGAAATACACAACACAGCTATTATTTTGTACTCTATGATAAATGGTATTAATTATAGGATTTTTGTTCACAATAAAACAATGATTGATAAGTTTTAAGGACATTTTAATCTTACCTTTTTTTCATTCACCGTTTAGATTTTACTTAAACAACTATTATCCATGATTCAATTTCCTAAATGTTGAATGAATCAAATTAATGTATTTTCAACGAGGATGTCCATTTTAACCAAAACACAATGGGTATACCCATTTCCAATCTATTTCCACGAGATTAAAGAGAAAATGAAAAAAAAAAACCCGAAGCAAACAACACCTATCATTTTGTGACAAGATCTTATCCCACCCAAACTACTCCAACCAAAAGAATAACCTCAATAATCAACTAAAATGAGCCAAACAACAACATTTTTTTTTTGTTGTTAATATTTTAGTCTATCTTTTTCATCCGAAATCGCCCCCCCTGCATTTGATGTCCCTATATTTTTACTGAACTGAATTAAACTAAACAAAAAAAACAAAAATTAAATGCACAAAATCACCAATAAGAGAAGTTAGCAATCTCACCTGAATGGATTTGCCAACAGTCAAAGGTGTGGCTTCAGCATGAATAAAGTCACCAATCACAGCTGATTTCAAATGATTGATGCTAAGTTGAATCCCTGCAACCCTTTTATAACCACAAGCAATATGTGCTCCAATACTTGCCAGAGATTCTGCTATCAACGCTGATACACCTCCATGAAGCACCTTAAATGGCTGCAATTACAACCACATCCACAATCAGATCAAAACAAAAACAATTTTTTTTTTATAATAGCCGTCAAATAATTGGCCGCAAATCCTAACTCATCTGATAGAAACAAATAGTGTTAGATTATACATAATCTCCAGGATTGGAATCCTAATACTCAACAATTATGTATGGGAGTTTCTAGTGATTTTGATAATGGAAAAAATCATCAAATAATTGTTATAAGATGTAAAGAAAAAAGAGTTGACCTGACAACACTTTTGGGTAAGATGAAGATTTCCAGAAACTTTCACTGCTGAGATATCTTCAAACTCAAATCCTAGGTTATGAAGAGGTGCATCCAAATCAACAGTTTTTGGTCTTGCCGATGAAGATGTCTTGTCATCCATGGTAAGAACTCAAAAAAGGGTTATTTGTTGTTTGATCTCTCTTGTTCTCAAATAATATATAGTTATTATCATTGAATAGTTATTTTATTTATTATATTCAGAAAATGGGTCAAAGTTATACGAGTCATAGAAATTTTGAAATGAATGATTTATTGAGAGTCGTTGATTCAAAGGGTATTTTAGGGATTAAAAATAAATGAAAGGTCGTAGTTGGATGGTAGGTGTAGTGTTTTTGGTTGGTGAATTGTAGAAAATAGAACTTTGTGTTGCAAGTGACGTGCGTCATGGTGTACTGAATTTTTTGAATTGGATTTGACGTATGAGTACATTTTGGCCGTTCGATGCGTAATCTACGGTGAGATGATTCAATCATTGTTTTGTGATACTGTAATCAGTGAGTACTAAAATGCATAGAAAGAATTGAAATTTATGATGGAGATCTAACGGGTAATATTCACATAAGAAAGTAATTTTTTTACTGTTCTACCTTATAAGAATTTGAAAAAAATTTTCAACTATTCCGATTTGACAAAGAATTTATGGGATGTCCTATTTTCTGTGTTTGTTCAGGCAATTAAAGAAAAATGTTACACAAAACTTTTTTTATATATGTATTCGGTCAATAAATGGACGAGCATATACAAAAAAAAATATTTAACACACTCGCATATTTATTGGCTGAGCGCACACAACACAAAATTTTATGCAACTGTTTTTTTATTGATCGAACCGACAAAGAAAATGAGGTATTTAAGAATTTTTTTATTTATAAATTAGAGCAAAATAGAATTTTCTTTTTCAAACATAAGATAGAACAATAAAAAAGTCAAGAAAGTAACTACATATAAATAAGATATGTATCTTCGGATGCACCTTTTTATTTACTCAACGTTGGTTTTTTTCGGAGTTACATCTACAAAATATTTTCATTTGTATAGCCTAGGAATAAATTACTATACCTGCGCGCCAGAGTCTCTTCTCCTCCCTCATTCTTCATTTTTCTTTTTCTCATTCTCAAACTCTCCAAACTCTCTCAACTCAAAAAAAAAAAATTGTCCACCAAACTTCATCATTTTCAATCAAGTTCGACAAGACTAGTTCATTTCAACGATCAAGAAACACCAACACATTCAAAGCTCGATATAATTAGTAAATTTTCGAGATTCCGAGATATTTTCGAGTTTTTCCTGTAAATGAGTTAGAATATAATTTTAGGGGTGGAAATCTTTAGATAGTTTTAGAAACATAATTTAGAGACAATGCAAGTATTATTTGTTGGCTGAAACGGACGATCAGGGCTTCAAAAATCACATTTGCATGGGTAGGGGACGTCATTGTCGTAACCTTTGAGTTGCAGGTTATTCCGGATCTACATTTATTGAACAATTTAACGTTATGACACTTCCGTAGATGCAGCTCCGGAACAACCCAAACGTTGTAAATTTCGGGTTCTTCCGTAGATACATCTATGGAACTTGTTCCGTGTGTTTGTATCTGGAAGTATAAAATGTTAATTTTTTTTTTTTTCATTTTTTGCTTTTTTATTTATTTGTATCTAATTATTTTTTCTTGGTTATTTCATTGCAGACATTATGGCAGACAGAGACGATAGATTGCGACTTAGACGGGCTTCGCAACATGCATTTGTGAGACGCGAGCGGAGTCAAGCCACTGTTACCGAGGCCGATACAGCTGAGGCACAACCTACTGGACAACCTTATTCATCACATGTCCAGAACACTCCCTCGACCTCGTATCCCACCCCATCATCGACTTCTTCATCTCGGAGGCGTCGGGATTCAGCTGAGGATTCATCACAGGCCCCGTCATCCCGCATGCCTCGTCAGGATACTCTTGCTCCTCATCCTGCCAATGATGTTGCTCCGGTGCCACCTCTAGAGAGTGATGACCCTCCACCAGAGGATGCTGGTCACGACGACGATGATGAGCCTGAGGGTTTTCTAAGGGGTCCCTTAGATATGTCTCTGCTGACAGGGTACACCGACCATACTGTCAGATATGTCTGGGATGAAGAAGTAACATTAGTCAGATTGTTGCTTTTTATTCATTGGAAATTTATAATGTGTATCATTGTTAATTACTAACATTGTTTCTTATTTATGGAAATTTTTCAGACTCGTGAGCTGCAAAAGTTCTACAACCACGGGCGGAAGATATTATCTTTGGAGAAGCCACAAGAGCCTTGATTCTAATATGTCCTTGTCACCTCTGGTTTGAAGGATCTTTGTGAGATCGGTTACAATGTGATCTACAACGAGATGCTGATGGGATTTACAGAGAAATGGCACCCTGAGACGTCCTTCTTCCATCTATCGCACGACGAGTTGACTATTACACTAGACATCATCTCCTGTCTGTTGCATATACCAATCAAGGGTACCCTCCTCCGTCACGGTAGGATGACGAAGGAGGATGCGAGAAAGATATTGGTCGATGAGCTTGGGGCTGATCCACTAGATACGCTGGAGGAGGTGGATAAGACCAGAGGGGCTCATGTCAGGTTCTCCTTTCTCACCCGTAGATTTTGTGAGGCGCTTGTTGCTGCACGCTAGGCAGACGATGATCTAGCTAAGGATGAGATACACAGATAGCATGTGCTGAGGTGTTATTTTCTATTTTTAGTCGATACTCAGTTGTTTGTGGACACTTCCTCCACATATACGGATGTCGTTTACCTGAGGTACTTTTTGGATTCCACACGGATTCATGACTACAACTGGGGGGCGGTTATCCTTGCTTACACGTATTTGAGGTTGGGAGAGGGATGCCTGTGGAAGACCAGGACTATGGCAGGGAGTGTGGCACTACTTGTGGTAACAATCTTATATCCTTCAATTTTTTTTCATTTCTTTTCATTCTATATTCGAGATAATGCTTGATCCTAATGTTTTTTATTTTCATTTCACACTTGGATATTCCGACATTTTCCCATAATCACCAAGTGGAGGAGTGTACCTGATTACACAGAGCAGATGTCGCGTGCCTGTGCCTTTCTTCCGCTCAGGGGGAACCAGGAGGTCGTCCCTTACAGAGTCTCTCGATCGTCTGGCTACTGAGGACATCCGATACGACGTCTATGCTGATTATTGTGTGACGCGGCCGTTTGACGACATCTCCCTAGTCTCAAGATGGTTGGCATGCAGTTCAGTCATCGTTGTTCCATATTTGCCCGAGCGCGTCATGCGGCAATTCGGCTACACTCAGACCATTCTTAGAGACCCAGTTGTATCCGCTTCTCTTGGTTTGACCCGTATACAGATAGACGTGATCTATGCCGACTACAAGAGGCACATGGTACCTGAAGAGGCTTGGGCGACTAGAGCGCTGACAAACTGGAGCTGCGTTGATGGTTACAAAATGTTATTAGAGATATTTGTTGTCATGGTAATCTACATAAAAAAAATGTGAAATTATAAGTATCAATTTAAACCAACATATTCAATTAATCCTTTAATTCAATATGCTCTCATTATTTTACTCAAACCAAATGACCCTCATCATTTGATTCAAAAATTCCCGTTGGAAGATTTTCTAGTGGATCGAGATCCATATTTCACTTTGTTTTAAGTTAGCGTTATGCTGATTACACAAAACCCATTTATTTAGGTAGGAACTCCTTCCAATTATATCTAATACAATTCTCGAATATTCTCAGTTAGGTGAATAACTCCTTATTCTAATCCATCATATGGATCATTCCCAACACTTGCTTCTAAACGTATATAATCTTATTATAATTTGTTTAGTTAAGTTTGACCCATTGTTTTAGAAATTGGATATTACATTTATCCCATTGCACCTTACCAATATAGAAATGCACCTCGCGTTAGGCGAAACCTACATTATTCGATACTAGTCTTGATGAGTTCTAAAACTTGGAAAGCATAAACATAATATTCAATTTTGAGGGAAGTTTTCAATTAGTTTGATCTTACCGGCTTATTCATCATATAAATCGTCTCTCACATGCATCATCATACAATCACATGCATCAACATACATATAAAATATGTAACAGTTATGGCCCCTAGCGCAATTTTTCTCTCAAGTCAATGAGAGAACCAAAGCTAAACCTAATAACGATATATGCTTTTCCAAGCTAGACCTCCATGGTTGTCCTCCTTTGATATTGTCTTCCTCTTTTCTTCATTACATTACATTAAAGAATACTCGTTTTGCATACGAGAGAGTGAGATGAGAAAAGAAGTTACATAAAGAGTGTATAGAGAAAGGGACGACACGCAGGCCGTATTTAAAAATACTAAAACAAAATAAAAGAAGACTAAGGTCATAACGGTTCACCACAAGAGATGAGAAAAGAAGTTACATAAAGAGTGTATAGAGAAAGGGACGACACGCAGGCCGTATTTAAAAATACTAAAACAAAATAAAAGAAGACTAAGGTCATAACGGTTCACCACAAGAAAACAATAGTAAACATATATTATTATTATTATTATTATTATTATTATTATTATTATTATTATTATTATTATTATTATTATTATTATTATTATTATTATTATTATTATTATTATTATTATTATTATTATGAATTTAAATTTTGTTAATTAAATAAATTAAATTAAACTTTGGCGATTGATCATGAGTAAATCGGCGTTTCTACTGTCTCATTATTAATGTATACCAAGTTATTTTAAACTAAATAATAACAACAATTTATTGTTATTTAATTAAATAATAACATGATACTTTATCATGTTCTTTTAAAAAAAATTCATTCTACATATACACAGTAACCGTGAATGAGTATTTTGGTACCGGAAACCAGTATTTTGTATACAGAGTAATACATACTACATATTACATACAAATATTGTTACAATAACTTTTATTATATTTATGTATGATATAAGCAACATCTCGTTAGTGTTACCGCAACATCTGTATGTAATTTAGAATAACAATAACATCATTTGTTATTAAATTATAAAATAAAATAAAGTATTTATAATAAT